AGAAAATCCCCAAAGATTGTCTGAAAATGCCTCCCTTGTAAGAGACAACTTCAAAATGACCCCTATCAGTTAGTGACTCCTATGATTGAATGCCCCCTTTGAGCACGATGCCCCTATTTCGATGCCCATAAGAACTGAAATTAGTTAGAGAAGTTTATATTTCATATTTTGGCCTAGTCTTCTCTGATCAGTCATTATTATTTAGGGTTGCTCTGGCCAGAGCCAACTGATTTCTCAAACCCATCCACTTTGAGCAGAAACTTTTTTTATAAATATCCACCATACCTTATTTCCTTCAACCAAAGACCACCCAAACCGTTTGATCTCGATTATCTCGAATTCTGGAAAGGATACAAAAATGTGTCAGCTGACAAAACAATTCTGATATCATGACAAACAATTTATCAGTTTCACTTTCTGATATCTTTGACAAGAAACAAGAAAAATTGGTGCAAAGTAAAAAGGTAAGGTAGCCATTTATTACAGGTTCGGGAGCCAGGTAAAGGAGCCATTTATTACGCATTTACCATAATTTGATTTATGGTTTTTTTTTTTCAAACTAGTGGAGCTACAGTAACATAACAAGTCCAACTGGGACAACAAATTTTGTCAAAAAATCTGACGGAACTTCAAAACGTCTTCCGAGATGAATATAAGTCATCTCGCTCGAACGTCAAGACAAAAAATTCCCAGAAGATTCTTGAAAAAAGACGAGAAAATCAACATATCCCTCTCACAAAAAGCAAAAAAAATGTGAATCGGAAAACGAAGGAAAAACATCGAATGAATCGACGCTAGTAGCTTTATTCACAAAAGAAAACGGGACACAAAAAAGAATAGGAACGAAAAAAATGGGGTACATCAGAAGGGTGAGAAGAGAAACAAGGAATTGAATGGAGGGAAGAATAGGACGACGACGGGAAAAAATAAGGAAATTGTGGTAGGGAGCATTCGGAAAAAAATGTTACATATTTTCATGTAATATTCGATCTATATATAGAAACATGCGAGAAAAAGAATACGTGTTGTAGATTCAAATTCCATCCAGTGGAACAGTAAAGATTTGTACAGTTTAATGAGCAACGGAGAGCTCGAGAAGAACCCAGTTCTTGCGGATAACCTCCTCATTGGCCAGTTGCTCATGGTCTCTGAAGTATTGCTCCTGAGCATCGATGGCCTTCTTGGTCACGTCAGTGAAAGATTCCAAATTGTATCCCAACTTCTGGAGACGCTCCTTGGTCTCAGCCACGTTGACAACGTCGACTGGCTCCAAAGTGAAAATTTTGGCTCCGTCATTCATGATTTCTGTGGCTCTGCGAATAGTCTCGTCATCAGCAGTGCTCAATAATTCAGTCGAAAGGAACACGTCGAACTTAGCGTCCTTGTTTTGCCAGTAATTGACAGAGCTGGCGAGAGTCTCGTTCCATCCGAAACGAACTCTTTGGTCCTTCAAATTGTTGGATTTGGTGAGAGAGGTACGGTAGTATTCTGGAACGAGTTCAGTGTTCCAGACGTTGGCATTGAAGGTTTCGGCAAGAGTGTGCGCGTTGATGTGGCAGAATGGTGAGACGGTACGTGGAGTGTAGAGGAAGAAGGTGGAGTTCGATGGGAGGGAAGTGAGAGCGTCGTCGAAGACCTGAAAATTTAATTTTTTGTGAAACTTCATAAGGATCTTCTTTAAAATAATCTTACCTTCTCAGTCCAGACGTATTTCTCTCCGTCTAATTTGGCATCCCACGCTTCTTGTTCCTTTTGCCAAGTGTTTTTGAGAAGGTCGACTAATTCCTTGGCTGGAGTCTCCTTGGCTCCCTCCTCGGCTGGAACCTTCTCAGCAAGCCAGTGAACCTGACGCCAATTGTTGGATCTCTTGATGTAGGTTGGCACAGAGCACGACCACTGGACATTGAAGCGCCACAACTTGTTGTCGGCATCACTGTAGCGGATGGCACGGAGAAGCTGAAAAGATAAAAATGAGACTTTGAAATCGTACTACTCAATTACATTGATGTAAAGCGACGAGAATCTGTAATGGGTCGGATTTGCGTTGGCAGCATCGTGCATCGAAGTTGCTTTCGATCTTCCAGTGCTTGGCTCGGAGCAACTCTCACGGAGATGTACAATTCCATCTTGACGAAGCCATCTCATGCAGTTGAAGATGAACTCAACGGTCTCATCATCGGAGAGATACATCATGAGCCAGTTGGTGAAGACCAAGTCAACACTGGTTGAGTCCATCTTGAGTCCGACAGCATCTCCAACACGATAGTTGATGTTTCCAAGATGAGCATTTCGTTGTTGGTTTTTCTTGATGAAACTGTCAATGAAATCGGTGGAGAGAACCCAACGAGCAGTCTCGGCAAGAACAGTGGTGAAGCGTCTGAAAACAGTACAATTCAAGATGGAATAATTTAAGAAAGATTTTTAGAAAGCGTAACTACACTTACCCAATTCCAGCTCCAATATCCACAACGTCCTTGTCGTGGAGAAGTGGCAAACTAGCCAAAATATCGGCACGATCGCTGGACTCCAACTCTTCAGCCGAATGATTCAACATCATAGAATTGGTATCCGGCTTATCTGAATACTTATCCCAGAAAGATTTGAAGTTCGCACGACGTTGCATAACCATCTCCATTTCTTTGTCCCTGAAAAAGCCACAAAATTAAGAATAGGAGCCAGTGATTCAAACAATGGAATCAAAATGTTTGCATTGATGTTTTTTTTTCTCATCTGGTCATCAAAGCAAACAGGAGACTACGAGGCAGACTCAATGGTTTCGAGAAACAAGCAAAATGATAAATGGAATTGTTTTATCTTGTTGTATGGGGTAGGGTGCATAGAACTTTTCGCCCCCCTGTCCCCGACTGCCGATCAGGCCATTCTGAAGCTCCGCCCACTTTCGAGAAACACGAGTGGAGACGATGGCCGATTTCACGAATAATGGGAGGAAATAGAACATGCGAAGAATACATAAAATATATCGTAGACAGATGAGTGTTCTAACGATCAAATGTTTAAGATGAGTTTAAAAAACGACTAAAATTTTGATGGGATGACAAAATACTCAGTTTGTATTGCAACAGAAATACAGTTTGTGCTCATCATATTTTGAATTTCTTGATGATCCATAGATCCAACTAAAACATCCCGTCGAATTAAATTTTAATAGGATTCATATGTTCTTTGAGATCTTAAAAAAGGTTTTCAAAATAATACAGTAATCTGCGTATTTGTGCAAATTATTATTTTATGCATACAATTTGGTCATGCTAATTAGTGATTTGTTCCTCTAATAGCTGGGCTCTTTTCTCTGGATTCAAAATAGCTTGGATTGAATGATCTGATAAACTAGATCCTGATCACTGGTATATATTTGAATTATTGACCCTAAGACTTAAGGGCCCAAGTCGAGATTTACTAGGTAATTTGTATGGATTGTATCAAGATTTCAATTGATAACTTGATGATTACTCATGTTAGAAAAATTGAACCTCTTACAAGATTATATAACACCTGTAATAGAAAGGCCCCCAGACTCTCAATTTTCAGATATCTCAATTTCTATTAGAGATATCTATAACATGTCGATTGATAAAGTGTTTTTTATACTATGATAAACAATTTATCATTTGACAACTTTTTTGATATATTTAAAAAGAACCAATAAAAATTGGCGGAAAGCTAAACATCGGGGAGCCCTTCTATTAGAAGTTTTACGGTTACGATATTTTAGCAGATCCGACCACTACAAAAATTAAATTCTACCCTTTTTTCAAATGTTATTCTGGCAAATCCCTGACTTCCTGTGCCCTCTGATTTTTCAAATCGGACACCAATTGCACTATCTGTGTCACATCATAGATACAACGTGGAACTAGTTTTCCTTCTTCTATTATTACTGTTTGCCACTCCTATCTGATCGTTTCCCTTCATTTTTACCGCTCCCCATAAAAGTTCATTATCAGTGTACTCCTCCCAACTGACGGCAGTAGCCTCGCTTCTGCCTAAGCGAGCCTATAACGCGAGCACAGTACACTTGGCCTTCTGAACTTGTCATTTTTCAATTCTTTTGGACACGAATTCTAAGAAAATATCAAGTTTTTATCATCAACATCATATTCATTATCGTAGCGAACTATCAGTTAGGGGTTAGGTTTTATTCTCTCCTCTCTTGTCTTTTTTCAAAGAAACGATACGCGATAAAATATGTCTCTGACATGCTAGACTAGATAGTGTTGGAGAAAAAAGGGGATCTATGAAGATTTGTAAACTGAAAACTTGCAAAAGTTAAATCAATCAACAACTGACTTATATGGAAGAAATTGAAACGATCAGACTGGTAAAGCAGGCTTTTTTTTAGAAAAGAATAGTACTTCGGAAAAGCGACGGTCAACGTCTGCTGACCATTCTTATCTTATCAGAGATGCTGGAAACAAAAAGCCAATAAAAATGGAATTGCACAAAAAGTGGAAGAAACGTGCTTTCAGAAAATCCAGGGAAAATTGTGTAGGAAAAGGGAAAATCAGGGTTGACCATGGTTGGAAAGTTCAAGCTCGAGCTGAACAAAATTAGATCTGTTGCAGTTTTACGTTTGCACAGCTTGGCATTCAACAATGAAAATGTGAAAGAAGCTTAACATGGAACTTTTTAAGCTGCCATTTTATTTGACAAAAACCACTATACAAGTGAAAGAGCGTCTTTAAGAACCATTAGATCCCTTCTCAAACTTCTAAAGTGCTGAAATTTCAGTTTCAGTATAAAAAAACGCCTTTTCTGTGCAAAAACGGCAATTTTCAACTATGAACTTCTGCATTCCTAAGGATTGCAGAAAAATTTGCCTACCCTTTGAGCGAGATAATTTTCCCAAGTTTGAAAAATCGTTTTAGAAAAATTGTGACATCAGAAGTGTCACAGAATTTGCCAATTGAAATGTCAACTTTATAGGTTGCCTTGTAAGTTAGAAACTACTGTATAAATAAGTCGAACTCGAAAATGTGGACCAAATTTTTTGAAAAGGTGATCCAGAATCTGATGTCAGAAAATCGTCTAGGATCATCACCTACCACACGTGTACATGCTCCCACGTGTCGAATGATACAAGAAAAGAATGGGTGGTCGTCTACCATATATTTTTTGAAATCATGTGATCATCTAAAAGGAATCAGAAAAAAGTCACTTACAGAGTTTGATCCTCAACAGAAAATAGTTGTTGGCCGATCGACATGTTGACACCTGAAACATAAATGATGACGAAGGATAAATGTATTGGAAGTGTTCAAAAACATAAGAAGTAGACGGAAGGAGAGGGAAATATTTTCATAGGATTTGGAAATCGGAAAACGACTGAACTGCTCTGCGATACTCGAGATGGGCGAGGCTTTAATTTGAATAATCTGCCACGGCCTCAGAGAGGGATACTGTAGGTTCAGTGAACAGTGTTCACTGAACGCCCGCCCCTTTTCTGACATATCTCATCTACAAAATTCCTTATATCAAATCGAAACCAAGGGAACACACACACACACATTCTTATTAAAATAAAAAACCAATTGCCCTATCGACATGAATAGACGGCAAGAGGAGAAAAAAAGAGACAACTGATTTGAATCAAGACGAGAAAGGTGAAGAAGGAGAAGACGAAGAAGAGAATATATGGTAGTTGTTACACGGTATTATCTGATTTTTGTCATCGAGAAAAAAGGGAGAAGAGAAAAAGAAGAAATACAGACAATACATACACTCTCATCATGTTCATTTTGCAGCAAATTGTAAAGTATCACAGTGATGAGAAGATGAATACTATCGAGACCTTGGCGGTTTTTTTGGTTGCGGAATTTAGAAAAAAAAAGATAAAGATAGACGTTGGTTCACAAGTTCAATTCAATCGACTGATTGAAAATGACAAGCGAGAAAAAAATCAAACAATCGAAAAGCGAAGAAATAGCCAAAAGGCAGTGTTGGAGTTCATCGTTCTTATCAGTTCCAGATGGAGGAATAACAATTTTATGGATAGGCATACACACTCCGATTTTTGGCTTCCTTTGGAGTGTAAAAGTAAGAAAATTGAGTGTTTGTAAGGTGTTTAGCAAGAAGAGCAGTGTTTCCTGACACGCAATTAGGTCTAGGAAAAAACCAATCAGGTTGATTGAAAAGCCAGTACGCACTTGGGTTCAAGCGAGGGGGTCAGAAAACGCGCCCCAGGAAACACGTAGGCCAGAAAAAATTTAATAATTTTAAAGTGGACGCTGGTTTGATCTAGATCATGATCTATTTCTTCAAAATCAACTGGTTGCAAGGCGCGCTTTTTCGCTCTTCATTTAAAACTGTGAAACTCACTATCAGCGACTTTCATACTTTCCTGATTTTAACTTTTAATCTATCAAAAGTGATCAATAACTCTGAAATCTTCTTTCGGAAGCCAGATGAAAAATTGTAGTCATTAATCGGCAGATCCAGTTGATTCCAAAGCAGATCGAAAAAATAACCCGCGAAAAATTCAAATATGTTATTCAAAAGAGTAAGCATTTCGAGGGACGCGGGAGAAAAAAAACATGTGACCGTTCTGAAAGAATGCCGATATTTTGTAATTTAACCTTCAAAAGTTCCGCAATCTAGCTTTGAGATCTTGTCGCACATCTGAGATTCACATCAGAATATTAGACATTTTTCAGTAATCAAAAATGTTAGATTGAAACTTGATATATGTCGTAAATCTCACTCCATTAAGATGGACAATTTTTAATCCGATCTTAGCTTTTTATCTATCCGACGGACAGTTCTGGAGTCGTTCTGGAGTCGTAAATCATTAGAACCAGTCTTAAACAGAATATCAGATTTCTCAAAAAAAAAGAGGGAAGGAGTATAAATATATACTCTATGAGATCCGGCGGAAGAGTAATTGCAAGAAGAAAAACACATGATATACTGAAGGACTACACGAAAAACCACAAAATACTCGTTGTCATGGGGACTATTGGTGATGTCGACGCTCAGAAAGAAAGTTCATGTGGAAGATTAGATCTGAGTTTTCAAAAAGTTGGATTCAGAAGAAACAACGGTTTAGGTACTCTGGAAATACAGTATATGTACAAAAACGTATTTTTAAGCTGCTTTTCGGCATATTCAGGACTCTCGAGCTCGTAGAACTAGATCGGAAAATTCGCATTCACAGAATTTTTGTCTTTCATAAATCGGCAAGCTGAAAAACTAAGAATATTCAAAAAATTCTATGAATGCAAAGTTTTGAATCTAGTTCTGTTTTACATCCTCCAAAACATTGATCGGAAACTTGACAGCTGAACTCCAGATTCCTGAAAATAGCGAAATCGGCCGAAACTCAACTAAAGAATACGTTTTTGTGTGTCTCCTTGGGCCGGGCTTGAAAAAAATTTTCAAGGTCCGGCGCCGTTGGCCCGGTATCAAAAATTCAGTATTTTTAAGCCAATTTTTTCCTTTGATTGATTTGTTTGCTTGTCAATCATAAATTTCTATGCTTTGATGAAATTAAAAATCATATTTGTAAAAATTTCGGGAGCCGGGCCGGACCTTCAAAAATTGGAAAAATAACACGGTCTGGCCTGTTACAAATCCTGAATAGAAAATCCTAACATTTTAGCTTCTCTAACAAATTTTTTTCTTTTTCAATTGAAAACCGGAAAAAAGTTTAATTGGTCTTATAATGGTTTTTCATGCATCCATCCCTAATAGTTCCACAGTCCAACAGTTGGATGCCGATGGACAACCCAAAACAATTTTCAAAGGTTAAAAGTTTTATTCTCCACAAGTTCAGTAACAAGAGATCGCCGAAAAATCGGCTTACTGGGCGGAAAGATTTCATATCCCATAACCCCCAAAAACAGTTTGTTTTCCATCTGTTCATTCATTCAAATGTAAAAAAAATGGTTCCTTCTGTTTCGAAATTGTCTGTTATATCCACGGAATCTTTGAATTCTTTAAAATCAGTTTCTTCTCGGATAAATCTAACAAAAGAAGACTATGAAAACACTCCGTTTGCTCATGTCGAGAGGGTTTGTTCACAAGTTTTGAAATGTTATTTCTTATTCTTAAATTTGAGATCATTTGGTTGCTTCGCTTGGATTTCACCCATTCTAGAGGATGGGCAAGACGAATCAATAATGCAGTCACTGCGATTTTCTTGATTTCCAGTAAAAGAATTTTACAGCAAAAATTGTCAAAATCAATTTTTAGGCATGTACTATCTGGGCTTCATGGCAAAAACAATGTTCTATAAATCGTCATTTTATGTTTTGGATATGTCTCTTCAACTTCTTAGTATGATTTGGCATGTCGAATCCATACTTTCAACGGTTTCAAATAATTTTAAAATCAAATTCTCAATTTTTTCTTCAGGTTTTTCTGGTTTATTGGCAGTTGAGTGGAAAATTGGAAGGGTTGAAAGCGAAACTCGAAGTTTGTCAGAATTTCAGAGGCGTAAGAAGTAAAACTCACAAATTTTACGGTAATACAGCTGAATTGATACTTTCTTGAAACAAAAAAGTTTTCAGATGGAGCTCGCTGGTTCATTATACTGTATGTAGTTACAACGGTGTTCAATGTCTGCTATTCTGCAAAATTCTATTTTGAAAAATCGCATTCGGTTTGGGCAATGTTAATTTCAGAGGTTTGACATGCTTCATTCAGTTTTAACATTAAAACTATTTCAGATGTTCTATTACAAAAAACTGCGATTCATTATGTCGATTATCAGTTCATATATGTATTCTGTCTGGCTCACAACTACTTATGTTTTTGTCACTTATGCAAATGCTGCATATTTCGAAGTTTCTTATTTCAACAAACAGATTCGGAATCTATCCGGAACTCGAGATTATTTAAAAGAAGAGTTGCTGAAAAACATTGAGAAGTTTCGACTCATAAGTGAAGCGATTGCTGAGCTAGACATGGTTTTTCGGGTGAGTTTCTCTTCGTCTCTTATGAAAATATTACAAAATTTTCAGCTCTACACATTTGCCATGTTGGCTACAGTAATCCCGATTTTGATATTCACTTTAATGATGCTGAATCAACACATGTCCTCTTTTACTGACTTTCTCATCTGTGCTCCTTTCATCCTTTTCTGTACATGTGCATTCTGTTCTGTTACTATTGCTCCTGCTCGTGTCCACGAAGAGTGCCAGAATCTGAAACATTCCTTGTGCAAAAACAAGAACATCTGGCAGCCCTATGACCCAGAGATTTATCAGCTTGCGAACACTTTATCCAATCATTGCGAACAAAACGGATTGGGAATTTCTATTTGGGGATTCGCCACTTTGTCGCGTCCTTTAATTCTGGGAGTGAGTTCAGAATCGAATTCAAGTAATCGGAAAAATCATTTCAGACACTGTCGGCTACAGCAATGATGATGTCTCTGTTGACAGATTTAAAGCCGGAACGAATAATTGAGGTGACAGTGGAAGATGGAAATTAAAGATCTGTTGGCTTGCAATGAAATGTTCTATTTTTCAATTTTTTACTATTTAAAAACATTCTCAAGTTTAAAAATAGTTCAAACTCCGAAAAGCGAGAGTTCATCATGAATCTATCAATCTTCTATTTCACCTCTATCTCTCAATCTTTCATCTTTTTTTCAACGAGAACGATTCCCATGACGATGTTCTTCATCCATTTCTTTTTCAAACAAGAAACATTCGTTCTGACGAAAAAACCTGCTCGAGAAGTTTTTTTCTTCTTACATGAGAGTTGGGGAATTGCCGAAAAATGATAAAACGAATTGAATTCCCAGGCGAATGACGTCTTCTTCCGCTCGTCGTCCACTTTGTCTTTTCTCCCATTTTCTTTCTATTTTTGTGTCAGTCGTCCCCCGGCCCAAAAATCTACTCTTTCTTAAATCTGATTCATTACCCAACTCATTTTCAGCTCATCCACACAAAACACATTTTCAATTGGATCCGTTTTTCAGACAACAACCGTAATCATTTTCCAACATCATGTTCATCTTTTCACATCTTATCATTTCCACCTGTTTCTTATTCAACCATGTCGATTCTCTTGGAGGAAAGCCATTCCACGTGGCACAGAGAGATATGACCGGAAAGAATTATGCGGTGCTAGCATTGTGTGATGACTCTTCAAAGGGACATCATATTAATGTGACTCTCAATTTGAAAAACGATGCTGGAGATAATCTGGAAATTGTTCATTTCCGGTACTCCAAGGAGCCAATTGAGGTATTACTGTAGTCATTGAAGCATTTTTCAAGCTGTTTTTCATGCATTGCTGTTAGCTGTTTTTCAGATCGAAGACCACTCTGCTCACAACATCACCGAAGTAGTCCTGACTGCTGACGTTGCACCAGTTCCATATAACATTCAGAAGGTGTCTGTCAGAATTCGTGATAAGTAAGGAGTTTTTTAATAACCTTCATGATCATCTGAACCTTTTTCTTTATCTCTTTAGCCTCTTCAAACTACACGTCAATCAAGAATGCGATGACGAAGAGGAATTCATCACATCGAAGACCCAGCAGACATTCTGGAGCCGTCGTATTGACTGTGAAAGGTTTGATGACCGAATTCAAGAACAAAAACATAACATTTTGTTTCAGAAAAGATGTTTACTGTGATGATCGTCACGATGAATTCCTGGGATGCGAATCTGTATTCGTCTATCACATGTCATGGAAACGTGGAGCCACTGGAAGAATTTAATTTTTTTTTAACTGCTTCTTTTTCTGATTCTTGAAACGTTTGCTTGTGAAATATAGATGATTCGAGAAGAATCCAAAAACAAATGGTCGTAGTTTACATGTACTTTTACGTACACAGGTTGATGAATAAAACCAATAAACGCTTTTCTTGTGTAGTAGTCTTTTTTTTTTTGATTTCTCAGATCTTCAGTAATTCGATTCGATTCAATTTTTTAATTTTTAACTTTTTAAATTTAATTAGAAAAAATTCCAGAAAAATTCCAGAAACTCAAAAATGCTCAATTTGCATCTGATTTGCCGGTCGCTAAGCGCTCTTTAGCAAGTTATAATCTAATGTTTACACACAAAAATTGCTCTCCGTTTTCCGACAACCATTCTCTTCTTTTTCTTGCCGACCCAATTCTTTTCTTCGATTATTATGCTAATCACTCGCTTTTTTCACCTTTCTTCCGGATTTTTCCGGCATTTTCTGTCAAACATAGATAGTCTAGGAAGGAGTTTGAAAAGAAAGGTTCCGATGATAAACAATTCAATTATAATTTCTCGGTTTGTTTTGATCATGATCTTGTCTGTGCATACATAACCACTTCTAATTTTCTGAGCAGGCTTTTGGAAATTTCGATATGTTTTTTTTCGAAATTTGAAATATCTGTTTCTGGGTTTTCCATTTAATCAAGTTCAATGACATCTAGGGTTTTTACGAATCATGGTAAAATCGCTCACTGGGTGTTATACTAGTACAAAATAAAAAATCGGAGCTGTGGAAGAGAAACGCCGGTGGCTGTGGCCAAAGTTACCACTAACGACAACTAATGTAATCTAAAAAATTCTTTTCATTTTCAGAATTTATTTTTCTTTTTTTACTCATTTTCGCGATTTTCCTGTTTATTTTCCCTAAACAAGTCGGAAAATTAAACTATTTCGTAGCGAAAATATTAACTGAAAATAAGCAAAACCGGGAAAAAAACTCAGAAAATAAAACATTTTTTGGTCACGATAGTTTTCGTTGTGGGACCTTCGGCCGCCGCCACTGTCGTTCCTCTTCGACAGCTCCGGTTTTTCGTATCAGCATAATAATAATAAGCTATTTTGCACAAACTAGGGAACAAGATCATGCATCTAGTGGGCATCGTTTGGGCATCTTGCCCGAAATTCTCTGAGAAATTAGTCACTTCCTTTGAAAAACTCAAAAGAATAGGAACTATACTTTACTTTTAATTGATAATTTCAGTATCGTTTGGATAGATACTCATGAGATATTACATAAAAACAGACAAATCCATACACTAAAAACTCTCGACCAGTGCTGCTCTACCTAAAAAAAAAGTTCCAATCACTTGAAAATGTTCATAAACCCGCCCAGCGAAACAATTTAAAACTTTCCAACCAGTCTCTCTTCTATTTCGTTATAATTTTTCGTTCTCAACTTTTGACTTTCATAGAGCTCTCCCTCCTCTTTTTTCCTCTTATCACTTTTACCCTTTTCACCTTCACGTATACCAGATCCCTCGATAGACGCGGGCGGCACTCTACAAGTTTGTGCTCTCCAAATGTGTGCTCTTTTTCCCTTTTCTTCTTTTCTGCTTCCCCCAAAAAATGCTTTTCATATTTGTCTTGACTCCTGTGCACCGGGACGGTAGAGACTAGGAAATATTATAGGGATTGGAGAGATTCAGCGAAAAAGAGTTCAAGAGACGTCACACAGTGATTGGGATTGAATTGGTAGAGCCCCCGACGGCGCTACCACGCAAAAATACAGTGGTGCTCTATGATCGATTCCACCACCCGTGTCTCATTTTGAGCTCTTCTTTTGCCCGGGGAATCTCTTTTCGAACACTTGCAGTCTTTTTATTAACCAATCTGAATTTCTATTACGCAAACTCTAAATTCTGAAAAACAAACATTTTAATTGTTCAAATAGAGGCATGAATCACTAAATAAATTTCAGACTAGAAATTAGAAATTTCGTAATACGGATCCGAAAGAGAATATATACCGTAAAACCTGTAATAGAAGGGCCCCCATGCTGTCAAGTTTGAGATCAATTATCTCGGTTCCTATGAAAGGTATCAAAATTGTGTCAACTGACAAAACGCTTCTGATATTATGATAAACAGTTTATCAGTTGATAACTTTTTTATACCGATAACAAGAACCGAGATAAATCGTCTCAAATATAATAGTTAGGGGCTCTTCTATTACAGGTTTTACGGTAATAGTAAGGCGACTAGAAAATTTCTTGAAGGATGGACAGTGGCTTTTTTATTAACCCAAGTTAGACTTTGAACTATTCCTTCAATCAAAGTATTGACTCAAGTGACCTTCTACTTTTTTTTGAAATCCGATACAATACCCAATTGACGAAGTAGTTTTTCTCTCCCCGAAAAGTCAATTCAATACTTTTCCATAGAAAAATAAATGAAAACAAGCACTTGACCAGCGAGTTAGTCTACAGTAGGTCCGAAAAAAACAGGGATTCTCAATAATCACCGCAAATATCCTTCTCCCTCTTCTCATCCCTCCCATTCCTTCATTCAATCCTTCTCATCTTGTGTAACAACGGCAAAAACAACGAGGAACATGTCCCCGATAGATAAGCGCCATTCTCACCTCAATGATACAGCGGGGGGTATAGATCAGTGGTAGAGCGCTCCCTTAGCATGGGAGAGGGCTGGGGTTCAATTCCCCATACCTCCAGGATGTTTTTATCGTTTCGAAAAGTGTGACTTATTTTAAAAATAGTATCTTGCTTGCTTGTTCTACAAATTAAAAGTAGGGAACTTGTGTGAGAAAACTGGAATATGAAATAGAATTAGCTCATGTTTCTGTTGAGGTGAAAAAAGAGCCTAGTACCGCCGAATTGTTTACTGTTCTGTTCGCCCAGCGCAGATGTTAAATAAAAACTTTACCATTGCTTACTTTCGCGTACATTTCTACCCATCTAACCACCTTTACTTTCGGTTTCTTTCACATTTTTCGTTCGCCCACTCACGAAAAGTTCAATTTCTTCATTTTTTATCTTACTTTAGGGCCATCATGAAAGAGCCGTGCTTCCGTTGCAAACGACCGACTTATTTCAATGACAAGGTAAGTCTTTGATTGTTTTTTGAAAATGTACTAGATCTAGAAAACAGACAAAAATACATTTCAGATGGGACCATTGAAAGATGGATCAATGTTCCATAAGGGATGTTTCAAATGCTGGATTTGCGGAACTCGGCTCTCACTCAAAACTTATCACAACAACAGAAACGATAACACTGATCTCGAGGTTTGCTTCTTTTAACTTTTGATCCCTCGTCAAGTGTTTCATTTTGAAGGTTTACTGTGCCGGACATGTGCCAACACCAGGGCCACACGATCCAATTCCACATCGATCAAATCTTTTGTTCTCGCCAAAAACAAAGGGAGAATATCCACACAATTTGATGAGACCTGCAGGACCAACATAATATCATCAAAACGATAAAACAACTGGAATATAATGAATCTGTTAAATGCACTTGCTTCTCTTCCCCCTTCTTCTCATTCTTCTTTTTCCTCCATCTGCCTATCCCTGTTCATTTGTGAATTTATACCTGTTTTTCGCTTGTATTATATAAACTTGACGACTCTTTGTGCGGTTTTATGGATAACTGACAACAATTCTATTTAAGATGCAGCACAGGTGATCTATAAATTTTCAATGAAGCCCTCTCAATGGGTGTGAAAGTTCAGACAGTCATAGGAAAGTAACGCGTATTTCATCCACAGCAGCGTCTACCAAAATCTTTCAGATAAACCATAAAAGTGAATAACTCAAATGAATGTCAACTTCCAGCGTGTTACTCCTGATTCAGGATTCCTGAACCTGAATTTCAGACTAACAAAAAATTCGAAAAATTAGGATTTGAAAATTTCCCAAAAATACTGAAATTCTACAGGTGAATTGATTTGAAAGGTACATAATTATATTGGGAGGTATGACATTCTAAAGAGAAATCGAATGGAAAAATGAATAGGTTGAATCGCACCAAAAGCGGACCAGCCAGCTGTTTGAAGCGGCGGAGGCGCAGGCTGGCTAAAAATGAAAAGGATAGGGAAAAAATATTCGAAAATAAAAAGGATTACTGTAGAAGGAAATTGTAAAATGTGTTGTAGGGAGAAGTAATCGAAAGATAAGGATAACTGTAAAAGAAAAATATTCGAACATGAAAAGGAATTTAAGAGTTTTTCTGGTACGTTTCGCAAATTTTCATCTCCCGAACTTTTGGTAATCTGAAAATCGTTGAAGTTTTTTATTTCCTCAAAAGTTGTGCAGATTTTAAGGAATCATATCCATTTCATTGTATTATAATTTCCCAATAAGCTTCGTTAACCGACAGACACACAATTTTTAGAAAGTTCATTTTATGGTACCTTCTAATCTTAAAAACAGACAGTAACATGTGTTCGTTGCATTTATAGTATCTCTACCGCCTCTGCGAAAATAAGATACCATCTACAAATGATACAATAGTGTGAGGGTCAGTTTCTCGCTTCAGTCAATCTATCATCATCATCATCGGACATGCATTCCTCTCCGGTATTTTCCACCATATTGACACTTTTCTTGTCCTTTTCTCGGTATCAAATATATGGTGATGTTCGTGAAATACAGTGAACTTTGATTGTCAAATTTTGTGTATTGATGTTCTAATTGGATTATCTTTCGCACTATTTTTCACGATTTTGATTTTCATCAATTTTCAGCCACTTTTGAGCTTATGATGTTGAATTAAAATTAAGTAAAAATATGTTTAAAATTAAAAAAAATTAAAATTAGGCTAATTAAGTAAAATTGGGATCGTATTCTTTAATTAAGTTCAAATACCATAAACAGTATATTTTTTGAACGCCAACCCTAACTTTCAACTTTGAGCCAATTATCTCATTTCCTGTGAAAGATATCAAAAAGTAGCCAACTAACAAGATATTTTTATATTATTGTTAAAATTTTGTCAGTTAACCACTTTTTGATATTTTCTAGAGAAAATCAGATATATGGGTCCAAAGTTGGGAGAGTTCTATTAGATTGTTTACGGTAGTTCCTGCTTTCTCTAATTATTCAATACTGGTTCCTGATTTTCATTCCATGCCACACATGTTTTTCTTTTTTTTCCATTGAAATTCAGAAGGAAGTCTAGCCCCGGAATCAAAATAAAGGGACAAAATACCCGTTGCTGGAGAACTGACCACTAATTAAAGCACGCCCGTTCTCAGAAATCCGCCTTCGTGTTGTCCACTTGTTCTTTTTTTCAGTTATTTTTCCGTTGTTTTACTATAAGTTTCATCTGTTGTTTCAGCTCTAAAAATAACAATTTTTGAGAGTTATCTAGAAAAAAAAGATTTATGATCACTTTATTACTTATTGTTAGATCCAAATCTTGTATTCTGCAGTTATTATTTAATTCCTTTCTTCTTTTTCTTTTCAGCAGAATTAAAAAAAACATGCACTAGTTGTTTTTGCTCTTCTGGTGACGACGGTGTTCGGGAAATTCTGAAAATAACGACCACTAGTATCTTTTATTCTTTTTCTTCTTCTTCTTCGTCACATTCACTCTCTTATTTTGATCATTTTTCTGCCTGCAAAGAGCTTTCGGATAGAAAAAATTATAGTGTCGGCTCAGATTTTTCGATTTATTCCTTCTCGATTGTATCTATTCGGTGTTAATACATGTTTTCTTCAATTTGATTTCATGAAAAACGATCTTACATCCTGCACATTTTCAGAATATTTTTCGATAGAAAATAAGAGATTTTTATCAAACTCATGTCTGTTCATTTTTTGTTTCATCAGAGTGCATTCTCTGCCAAATACAAAATATAAGCTAATAATCACTCTTATATAAAACGCTAGACTCTGCCTGTTGGCAGTTTATAGAAATGTCCGCCTTATTTGAAAATATATTTCAAGAGAAAGACGGTTTAATTTGGCTGGAAGGAATCGAATCATTTATTTGTACAGTTTGCAGCCAATTTGAAGTTTTTTTCCTCTTGAATTTTTTTTTCATCTGAAATTCGTTGAATTCGGTTAAAAGGGGCTCGGATCAACAATTTTAGTGCCTTTAAATATTTAAAAAGTTATGATTTTTCTTAATTTTGTTGCGAAAAAGTTTAAATAACAATCCGAAACACCCCAAAAAACGCCGTTGAAATTTTTCAAAAAGTGGGTGCTGGAGATGAAGGTGCTTGTTTCATTTTCAAAGGCGTTTTTCGGGGTTTTGGTATTTTTCTGAATTTCGTCGAAGTTACATTCTGAAAATACATAATTTTGGGAACATTTTAATGCAAACGTTACAAAAAGTTTTGATTGGAGTCCTCTCTTTAATTGTTTTTTCCTCTTGAATTTTTTCCTCTGAAATTCGCTAAGGTTGACTAAATGTCTACTTCCTTAAAGATAGTTTCTGAAGATTTCAAATAAAGTCGTATTCCATTCATTGTATCATACTTCCCTAATAATCCTCGTTCAATCGGTTCAAATTTTAATTAATAATTCATAAATTCAAAGAAAAGCAACAGCGGTTATTGCTTCTTGGAAACTAGCAAAGCGATACTTCAAATTTCGAAAACACCTTTTTCTCGTTCACTATTTCGAGCACAACAAATTTCGTATTTCCGCTTTTCCTGACATTTATTTTGACATGTTTTCCTTGAAAATCCAGCTTCAACTCAACTCAAAATTCAATTCAAGAGTCATATGAAATCTCACATTTTCAAATAAAGTCCCTCCAATTTTCAACCAATTTTTGCACCTGTCCTCTCCCGAAAAATTCTAATATCATGCAAAAGAGAAAACTGACATTTATTTTGTCTTTCCATTTTCCGAGATTTATCCATCTTCTTCATTTTATTCCACCCTCCGATTTCAATTTCACCTGACATTTTTTCTTTTTTTTTCTTTTTTATGTGAAATTTTGGTTCTTTATGTGCTCCCCATTATTCATTCATTTTTTCTGGAGTTCTTTTTGATTAAATCCGGTCACTGACTTCACTACTCTTTTTCTAAGAGTCTCTCTTTTACTATTTCTTATTACTTTCTTCCTTTTCTTTTTGCTTTTTCCCATTCTTCTTCATTTTTCATCCTTTATTCCTGACTGTATTACTTTTCCTTTTCTTTTTTTTCTAAAAGCAATGCATATATCCGTCCTTCTGCTATTTTTGCTCGAGTCAAATGCAAAAAAAGAAGAGAAAAAACGGGTTCAGTTTGCAAAAAAGAGTCCCGAATGATGGCTCAGTTGGGAGTAGAATAAGGAGACCCGGATGCATGTGATTCTTGTTCTTCTAAATTCCACGTGTTACACTGTACTGTTCTGGCTATTTTTAATTCAACTTAAGATACAGTACTTCAATATGTCTGCCCTCACAATCAGTTCAAAATCCTTGAGACCCTGCAAACCTTTTACCAAAGTTTTCTTGTTCTTATGCAACAAGTTGCGAG